TGCAGCGGCCTTGGACTCTTGTTTGTAAACTAGACTGGAAAGGGAGGGCTTCCCATCCTTTTGGGGGCAGATTGAAACGAGGCCTTGAAAGATAGGAGGGTAACGGAGGACACTCAGGAGTTGTGGAGGCCTTGAGGAAGGAACCCCACATTTCCAGAGATGGCGATCTGGTCCTCAGAAAACTGGCTTCTGGCATTTTCACTGGTCCTTATCTCTCACATACCAGACTTGGACAGCCTGTTCAACCTTATGTAAGTTGTTGCTATTGTCATTTCCTGACACAAAGGTTAGAAGGTCTTGGTGTTTTAGGCAGCAGGGTACCATGTTAGTTGAATGTATTTTGAAGGGCCTGGCATGACTTCTCTTAAGTATTAGTTGACAGGAAGTCAGAGGTGCTCTGAAGTGTCACATAGCCCTTTCTCTTCACTGGTCTAGACAGCAGAAGATTGAGCTTCCAGTCACAGAGAACGTCCAGACCATCCCACCACCCTATGTAGTGCGGACCATCTTGGTATACAGTCGCCCTGCCTGCCAGGCCCAGTTTGCCATGATGGAGCCCATAAAGGTAGGTAAGAAAAAGGTTAAGATGTGTGGAGAAGAAGCACTCTTCCAAATCTGATGACCAGATGATCCAGGAATAGGTTTCTAGGGTGGCTAGTCCACTGCCATGATTGACCCACTCTCCTGCTCAGAACCCGCCAATGGCTCTCCAGTCACTATCCATAAAAGACCAGCATCCTTCTCTTGACATTCTAGTACCACCATACCTTTCTAGCCTGATCTCACACTGTTTTCTTTCCTGTATACTCTGCTCTAGACAGACTGGACTTCTGAGCTCTCCCAGTTCATCCTGTACTCTTCTTCCTCTCTTCCTTTTTTTTTTTTTTTTTTTGCACCGTTCCTATACATGGAATGACCTCTCCCCATTGCTTCCTGTTGACAACCCACCTGCCCATCAAGGCTCAGTTCGAATACCACCCCCTCTTAAAGTCTAAAATCTCCTCGAGCTAGAGGTGACTTCTCCCTAACCCATATCATAGCACCTTGTCCCTCCAGGCAGTTACCATATTCTACTTTGCATTTCATATGTCCCTTGTTAGATGGTGAGGTCTTTGAAGGCAAAGACCCCGCCTTATTTATCCTGTCAGCACAGTGCAGTGCACATAGTTACTTAGTAAGGTTGGTTGGACAAAGGATCGAGTGGACGGGCACACCATGGCCATTTCCATTGAGACTGCCATCAGGAAGAACTTCCTAACTCTGTGTTGTTGCACATGGGCAGTGGTCTGCTGTGGAATCCATTTTCCTTGATGAGAGAGAACACTCTGTCAGGAGAAGATTTAGGAGTCATATCTGTATGGAAGTCATGGAGCTGATGCAGTGTTTTCTTGCCATCCTAAAGTTTTGATCAGAAACCTTTAGTGTCTGTGAAATGCTTTATCCATATTATCACTTTGCTCCTCAATAGCAGCCCTGTTGTTAGTGGGCAGGACCATAGGTAATAGCCCCATTTTACAGATAAAGGAACTGAAGCTTGAGGTCCCCTCGGGACACAGCTAATGGTCAGAAGTGGAATTTAAACCCAGGTCTCTCCTGACTCCCAGGCCAGCTCCTTTCTAGTAAAGCATGCTACCTTTTTGATTTCTGAAAAACGGTTTGCTGTTTTTCTTTCCCTGCAGAAGATGCTTCAGTGTCCATATTTCTTTTTTGATGTGGTATATATCCACAATGGTACTGAGGAAAAAGAAGAGGAGACCAGCCAGAAGGTGAGATGAGAGATGAGGGCAAAGCTCCCGACTGTGGAAGGGTAAACTTGGCTTGAAGCCCTGGTGGAAGACTAACTTTTTGTGGAAGGGCTGGTGCCTGGGCATGGGGAAGGGGAAGCGATGCTCTCAGAGAGCCAGCCAGAAGTCCTTCAGGACAGTGCGCATTGCTGTTTGGACACGGTTATGAGGTTGGTAGGTCAGGAGAATCCGGGCTGCACTAGATGAACGCAGAAGTCCCTTCCAGCCTTGACATTCTATAGAGCTATGGGTCTTTGGGACAAAAGGACAGACAGTTGGCTTGTTGGCTGAGGAGTGTGGAACCTCATCCCCCTGAGTCTCTGCCAAACAACTCTCTGATGTATCATGGCCTGAAAAGGGTTAGGAAGCCCTAGCCTCAACGACGAACTGCATAGTTAACTTATACATTTCAACTTAGACTATAGAACATAGACTGTCAGAACTAGTGGGGGTCTGAGAAATCAGAATGTCAAAGCTGGGAGGGACCTTATAAAATGTTAGACCTGAGAGGGCAGCGCAGGAATGAGAACGACTGTTTGTACGTCTAGGACACTGAGGCTCAAGAGAAGTCAACTTACCCAGTGGTACACGTTTTATAAGTGACTGAAGGACAAGAATAGGATTAGAATCACTTCTGACTCCCAAGTCCAGAGTTTTCCAGCCACACTAGGCTGCCTCTGAAAAACTGAGGCCACATCCTGACACATACTGGCTGTGTGTCCCTGGGTGGGTCACTGCCAGGGCCCTCAGGCCATACTGTAAGACCTTCATTTGCAGAGAAGGGTCTGCTCCGCATGGGTGAAGGAAGCTCTTCACCAGGAACTCCAGACAACAGTGAAATCACAGGTTGGGGCCCCCCTCCCTAAAGGGCAGGCAAGCTGTGACCTGAATTTGCTGAAGGCAGCCAGCGCAACTTCCTGCATCAGCACCTAGTCTCACCCCCTGCCCCCCAAAAAACATAGCTATTTGAGGGTGGGTTTGGAGAGCCCTTTCTACATATTCCTGTCCCCAGAGCTGCCCATTTTGGAATGGGGGGAAGACCAAAGCTAGGGGGTCTTTGCCTTCCTGTGAGCCAGGGGACCTCTTTTTTGATTGCCTGTGCATAGGATCCCACCTTTGTGTGTGTGTGTGTGGGGGGATGCAAATGTGCTCATGTCTGATGGTCTGTGGCCCCTTCTTGCCCTCACCTAGGACACATATGCCCTCTTTGGAGGCTTGGATTCCAAAGGCACCAGCTACAAGTACGAGGTTTCACTGGCAGGACCAGCTGTGGAGCTGCACAACTGCATGGCCAAACTCTTGGCCCACCCTTTGCAGAGACCTGTCCAGACCCATGCCTCCTACAGCCTTCTGGAAGAAGAAGAACCTGCTGAAATGGAAGCCACCGTTTAAGGCCTGTCTCAGGCCTCTAGGCTCTTGGCTGTCCTCCTTTCCGTGGAATGAACCCTTTCTCCATAGGCCCTGGAAAAGGGTCCTTAAGAACAGTGATTGTGGCCCCAGTGGGGATGGTGGCTCTTGGAGAAGGTCCGATCAATGACTGATCTGGGTGCGTGGGCCTGTCTTGCCACAATGCTAAATGCAGCCTGTGGGCCTCATGATAGCGAATTTTGACTATGTATTAAACTGTCAGTGTCGTGTTCTGGACCTGGGTAGGTGGTTGTCTTTTGTCCTTCCCCTGGATCTTGGCATAAGGGGCTATTGCTGCCCTTTCCTCTGGCCATGACATATTTAGAGTACTTTGTTTAGTTCTGGGTGAAACTCTGTGTCAAACATTGCTAAGGTCTGGGGACAAAAACACAAAGCCTACAGTCCCTACTCAAGGGTTATATGTTCAAGTAGGCCACATTTTGGGAGAAGTGGTGTTGAATGAACATGATCAGAAGAGGGAATCCAGCCAGGAGGGTTGAAAAAGGACTGGAATCCATGCCATGAGGATGGTTTACCATGGAGGAGAACAGACTTAGAAGGGACATGATGTCTGTCTTCGGAGGCGTGCAGGAGTGTGAAGTGGAAGGCGTGACCAAACTTCCTTAGTTTGGCACTAGAGGGCAGCAGCGGGCAGAATTTCAGGGAGGCAGATTTGGCTGTGTGCCGGTGAAATTCAGCTGCTAATCAGAGGGTGACCACTTGTCAGAAGTGCTGTCCGTCAGGCAGAAATGGAACTGGAGGCTGTCTGAAGTATTTTCTGCTTCTGAGATCAGGGCTTGAGGTGTGGAGAGGAAGAGGGGCATTGGGGGTATTAGCAGAAAATTGCTACTTCATGCCTGAGAATGAGACCAGTTGACTGCCTTGGGTGCAGCGTGCTACAGTGGAAAGACCATTCACTGGTTCTAGAGTCTGAGGACCTGGGCTCAAATTCCATCTCTGATGAATAATACCTCTGTGACCTTCACCTGCCTTGGTCTCTGAGCCCCCTTCCAGTTCCATATTCATGGTCCTAAGGCTGAGGTCCAAGTGAACTATATAAGACTTGGGCTTGGAGTGTTGTGGAACTTTTGTCAATCAGATTTTCTCCATGGAAGCCCATCATTTAATGAATCAGTGGGATTGACAATCCTTTTTCCTTTATTGGAACAAAATTAGTCCTTGTTGCTCCCTGAAGAGACAATCAGCACCAAGATGGTGGGGAATTACAGGGGATGTTGAGTATGGAGAAGAGACAATTTGAGAGGAATTGGTGTGGTCTGTAAGTATCTTGAAGGCCGTGGCCTTTGAGGGCAGAGTTAGCAATAGAGCGTAACTTTCATTTCAACGTAAGGGACATCCTGACAAATGGAACTGTTTAAAAGTGGAATGGCTTGTCTGGGGAGATAGTGGGTACTCCACTAGAGTATTCAAGTGCTGGCTCAGTAAGGTAGCAGGGATAGAAGGGGTTCCTGTTCTGATGGGAGTCGGACTGGAGGGCTCCCTTTCAAATCAAAGATTCTGTAATTTAGTGATAACTGAAAATATTTTAGCTTAAACTGTTCAGTGACATGTTCAGAAAATCAGAATCAGAGTGGGAGGGGACCATGAATACAATATCAACCTGAGAGTTCAGTGTCCATGACAGTCCACCGGCTTCTTGGAGACTTCCAGTGATGAGGAATTAATTGGCAGCCTTATTTCATCATCGACAGCTCCAATTATTGAGAAGTTCATCTTACGTTGATGTGGTTTGGAACAGTCCCCAGGTGCGGCGTACCCAATCATCAGTAAGTCCTTTCTGGTCAGCCACTATGGGCAGTGGCCAAATCCTGAGGAAGCATCTACCCACCCTCCCCTTCCCCACTTTAGCTGTGTTGTCCAGTGCTGGAGACAAATATGGCCGCTGTGTTTCATTTCAGGCTGACTTCAGCCACTGACCTGGGTTTAACATTGGGAGGGGAATTACAAACCAAAGGGAAGGCCCTAAGCAAGGCTACTGACCACTTCCTAGGGCTGCTGCCAGGGGAGTCAGGGAGCCCAGGCCCTTGGCCTGCCTCTACCCCACACCCCTCCCAAACAGCCTGGTAGTACCAGCTTCACTCGTGCCTCCCCATGTAATCTTGGGTAATCTCTTTCCAATCCTAGCCCTCATTTGTGCAGTGAATGAGGATATCCTAGCCCTGGGCACGCTGGGTGGGAGAGCTGTCCACTCCTGCCGGATGCTCAGCCCCTGGCGCGGCTGCCGCTCACCGCCCCGCCCCACGCTTTATCGCCTCGGTCCAGGCACCCTCCAGCTGCTAATCTCAGTTGCTCGGGGGCGTGGGCGAGGTAACCTGTATGGTCCCAGGGCCCCAGATGCGGCAGCACATCTGGCACCGCCTCCAGCTCTAGGCGGCTGACAGCGCCCGCCTATAGTGGGGCTGCTCGGGCCGCGCAGGCGCACAGGGCAGCGAGGGAAGTTCGAATGGCCGCAATGGGACCGTGGACAGCGGATGGCCCCGGCTCTGCCGGGCCGGGGAGAGGCTCGAGCGCTGCCACCCCGGGACTGGCTCGGAGGCTTCGAGAGGCGCTGCAGGACGGGAAGGCACGGTGAGGGCCGGATCGCTGCACCCCCTCCTGCGCTGCCCGGGGCTGGGGGCCTTCCGCTCAAAGGCGGGAAGGGCTGGGGAGCTCGGGACTCTGCTCCCCCTGGGGCCCGGGGCTCGGCCGGGGGCGCTAGGGGCTCTG